AATAACCACTGTGAGCCAGTTTTAATGTCACATAAATAAAAATCACTCATTCTGCTATGAGAGTCTCAGAAAATCCTTTTTTTTGGAATATCACTAGCAACCAGGGGAGAAGAGGACCTCTCCCCTCTGTTAAAATAACCACTGTGAGATTCTTTCAGAAAGGTTTCCTGCCCAGATCTGTCTGATTATCTCCTAAATGGTTTCCATAAACAAAAAATGGAGAAATTATCTCTTTTCTGAACAATCTATAGCATTTGCCTATCTCCCAAATGTCATAGAAAGACACAAAGGCTGATTCACTTGGTTTGTACAGATCCACTCTTTTTCTTATTCAAGATAAAACCAGCCTTAATTAATGTTGATAATTTTTTTTTAGGCTCTGGTCTAAATCCTGCCACTATCTGTATCTTACACAGTTCTGAATGGAAACCTACTTTCACTAGATATTTGTTTCTGCCTTTAAATTAGTTAAGTTGTATAAATTACAGTTGTTTTCTATTTTTATTAGTTGTGTAAATCTTCCTTATTTTCACATTATGTTGCCAGTTATCAAAATTCTCTTGTCTTCATGTAACAACAACTCTTCCTCCATAGCCCGAATTTTGGGTGGCTCCTCCATTCTACCTCAAGATTTGCAATTGTACTTTTTTTCTCGCATCTCTCTTATTCTTAGTTGCAGCAGAGCTGGATGACTCTTGCAATATTCTGAACAGAACACAATTTAAAACATTCAATGTCAGCTTCCTCACCAGATATACAAAACAAAACTGGAATTTAAACTGGATAGAAGTAGTCTAGAAGATACTCTGTATCTTATTCAATTTTTTACCATCAAATCCCATTCAAGGAGTTGTTTTCTAATATGTCATCCCACATTGTTCAGCACATATCGAAAAAGTACAATCCATTAACGATGCTGGCCGATATTGTGTCATCACAGACAAGGCCATCATTAGTATAAAGCCATCTCCCTCTTTAAGCAGTCAGGTTAGATGATTCTACTGTTTCCTCCAAGCTAACAAGGTGCAATGCTGGACAAGTAGAGCACTTGTTGGATCTTGGACCTCACTGATCCTCTCTGCATGAGATCTTTATACAGCGTACATGCTGCCCAGCATTCAGTTCAGTCCTAATTACAGAGTTCATTCTCTACCTGTGTAGTGAATTCAATGGCTACTGAAACCTACTTTCACTAGATATTTGTTTCTGCCTTTAAATTAGTTAAGTTGTATAAATTACAGTTGTTTTCTATTTTTATTAGTTGTGTAAATCTTCCTTATTTTCACATTATGTTGCCAGTTATCAAAATTCTCTTGTCTTCATGTAACAACAACTCTTCCTCCATAGCCCGAATTTTGGGTGGCTCCTCCATTCTACCTCAAGATTTGCAATTGTACTTTTTTTCTCGCATCTCTCTTATTCTTAGTTGCAGCAGAGCTGGATGACTCTTGCAATATTCTGAACAGAACACAATTTAAAACATTCAATGTCAGCTTCCTCACCAGATATACAAAACAAAACTGGAATTTAAACTGGATAGAAGTAGTCTAGAAGATACTCTGTATCTTATTCAATTTTTTACCATCAAATCCCATTCAAGGAGTTGTTTTCTAATATGTCATCCCACATTGTTCAGCACATATCGAAAAAGTACAATCCATTAACGATGCTGGCCGATATTGTGTCATCACAGACAAGGCCATCATTAGTATAAAGCCATCTCCCTCTTTAAGCAGTCAGGTTAGATGATTCTACTGTTTCCTCCAAGCTAACAAGGTGCAATGCTGGACAAGTAGAGCACTTGTTGGATCTTGGACCTCACTGATCCTCTCTGCATGAGATCTTTATACAGCGTACATGCTGCACAGCATTCAGTTCAGTCCTAATTACAGAGTTCATTCTCTACCTGTGTAGTGAATTCAATGGCTACTAAACTTATTTCCACTGAAGTATCAGAACAAGCATTCAGATCATTTTACAAACTAAACTGCACTTACTTTTGTTTTAGCCCAAATAGTTCCACTTATAGTGTTATATAAAAATGTTTAACACTCAGTAAGTGAAACCACAGTTTATCCCATAATGAGAAAATTGAAAGTGAAGGGAATAATCTCTGAACTGCAAATGAGACTACTTCAGCCAGAGTTGTTCTCAGTCCCTGGAGCAGTCAGTGAGCCCACATTTTACACTCAGGAGGGGTGGAATAGTGTTTGCATAGGTGATAATATAAACTGAAGATACACATTTTGACCTTAAAATAACATTATTCATTTTGAAGCAGAAATGCTGCATTGCCCATTGGGGCAAGAAAGCAGATAAATACAGATAATATCTGCCATGACTGCTCACAATTATTGTTAGGGGTAGGGCTTTTATAATTTAGAAAAGATGCAGAACGATTTTTCTTTGAAATCAAGACCCATGAAAAGTTAAATACTCTTTAATAAAGAGTGTATACTAATGCATTTTCATAAAGATTTATAGTATTACAGATGTCTCCCATTTTCCCCCCCTCCTACCCTGCTTCACCCAGTCCCTATCCAACCACCCCACTCAGGTCCTCACCACCCTATTGTCTGTGCCCATGGGCTATGCATATAGTATTCTGTTCATTCAATTCTACAAATAAGTGGGATCATGTGATATTTATTTTTCTCTGATATTGTAATTTTTTATTTAATCAAGAGAACATACAATTAATGTAAATTTATTATATAAAATATTATAATGAGCCTTTGTGTACTTACCATTTTCCTCAAGGAATAAAATATTAGCAATAATTACAGGTTCCTCTCTATCTTTTCCTGAGCACATTATCACCCCACTACCCCCGCCTGCACTATTCTGAATTTTATATTCAACATTCTTTTACTATCCTTTATCATTTTATTATATATGTATGCATCTCTAAGTGATATCATTAAATTTGTATGCATTTGACATTTTAGAGAGAGAGAAAGGGAGAGGGATAGAGATAGAAACATCAATTGGCTGTCTCCCACATGCCCCCCACTAAGGATAGAGCCTGCAACTCAGGCATGTGCCTTGACCAGGAATCAAAACCTTGACTTCTTTGTTCTTTGGTCAAGGCTCAATCACTGAGCCACTCTGCTGGGCTGTATTTTACTTTTGTAAGAACCTTTATCACAATGTATTTTTATGGAATATACTTTTATGAAAACATCAATTAGCTGTCTCCCACATGCCCCCCACTAAGGATAGAGCCTGCAACTAAGGCATGTGCCTTGACCAGGAATCAAAACCTTGACTTCTTTGTTCTTTGGTCAAGGCTCAATCACTGAGCCACTCTGCTGGGCTGTATTTTACTTTTGTAAGAACCTTTATCACAATGTATTTTTATGGAATATACTTTTATGTTCAACAATATGTTTATGATATTCATCCATGTTAACAACTGGTCATCATGACATTTTATAAGCCCCGTTTCTTCTGTAATACCTTTTACAGCCTCCATAGTAGAGATGGTCCCAGAATCCGCTCGGCATATGAAAGAGCATTGCAAAGTGGAGAGAGTCCTGGACAAGGATTTGGGAAATTTAGTCTTTTTGCAAATTCTTTTAAGTTTGATCTAGATTCTGCCAAGTCTTTTAAACTTGTTCTGTGTTCTTATAATGCATTAGATTGTATCTAAGTACCGCAGAATACATATTTAATAGTTCTCTTTCAATTTATCAAGAAAGAACAGTGAGAATATATTGTTAAGTAGGAAGAGTAAAAATACTGTTTCCAGATAACCAGAGTTCAGATTAAATGCTATTACATAACACATATTTAAAAGTTGCAATTATAGTTCACATGAGTAGTCAGTGAGTAGTGACAGCTGCCTCTAATTGTCTCTAGTGTCCCTCTGTAGAATGGTATATTTAGGTATATTCAGGTTACCATGTTCTTAAACATATTAAGATTCATTATAAATAGTTGCTTCATAGGAAGGAATCAGTGGTTTAAAAATATTATTAATGTATACATAGCAAGTCATGTCTCAGATATTGTGGCTAGCTTAGCAATGTGTTTGCTAGGTTGATGAAGAAATGCTGGCAAAAGCCAAACAAAGGATACACACACAGTGTTTTAGTATGGAAAATTAGATCATGATGTTTAAAGAGAATTTAGGTGACAGCCAATGGTCACCTAACTCTATACATAACATTTATATTATGTAGAACCACAGCTTAAGAAATACTAACTGTGAAACACTACAAGTATAATAAGAAAATATTTTATATCTAGAAACTATAGTGATAAATTTTCCTTTGAATTTGAGAATCATATTTTTAAAAAGTATGGTGTGTGTTTATTCCATTGCTTTCTATGTATTTATTCCAGCAGTTCTCAACCTGTGGGTCGCGACCCCTTTGGGGGTCGAATGACCCTTTCACAGGGGTCGCCTAAGACCATCAGAAAACACATATATAATTACATATTGTTTTTGTTATTAATCACTATGCTTTAATTATGTTCAATTTGTAACAATGAAATTGGGGGTCACCATAACATGAGGAACTATATTAAAGGGTCACGACATTAGGAAGGTTGAGAACCACTGATTTATTCCAAGGTAAAATATGTAAAGACATTTGAACGGGTAATGTAGAATGGCACCATAGTTACAAGCCAAAATTTTATTTCACATATACTTACTTTCATTTCTGCATAACTGTGTGATTTTGGGTCAAATTATTTATCTTCTCTAAGTTTAATTTTCTCATCTACCAAATAGAGATAGTAATAATAGCTACCAGATAGAATGAATATAAAGATAAACTGTGACAATTTATATAAATGACCTAGCACAATTATAACAAATAGTAAGAGTATACACACACACACACACACACACACACAGACAAACACAAACACACATATGTAATTAAAATTAAATTTCCCCTTTGTGATTGTCTGAGGTTGGCCAGAACATCCCTGTGAGAAGGGATTTGATGTAATTAAAATTAAATTTACCCTTTGTGATTGTCTGACAGGTTGGCCAGAACATCCCTGTGAGAAGGGATTTGATGAGTGCATTCTCAAATCATGTGTTCATGACATGTGTGTAGAAAATGAACTGGCTTTGACTCGACATGTTTCTGCCTACCTGGTTTTGTGGTAAAGATTATTATTGTTTTTTTGTTGTGAAACTTTTACATTGCCTTTGAAACACTGTAAGTAATAGAATAGTGTATGGTGAAATGTAAGGTTGGACAAGTTAACTTAGTGCTCTTCTCCTTCTCTGTCTGGCCATACTACACTTTTCTCAGCATTCCCCTTTCCCTTCCTCCATAGGTCACATGTACCCTCAGCCCTTCAAGAGAAAAGCATGCTCATAAATTGATTCAAACTAAGGTATAAGTGACTTAATATATTGTCCTTTCATGTTTTAATGCATTTGGAAGGAGGATGCCAGTAGAGGAATTACTTAATATTGTCAGGGTCTTGGCAGAACCTCTATTTTGCCCAAGGATGTAGTGCTGCTTCTGGTGTTGGATTCAGAGTATTATGTGTCCAAGGAGAATGAATCTGCTTCCTTGGCAAAGTTGGACTGGTCTGAATTCCATTAACATTGGAATAGTCTTACTTTGGTAGAAATATCTCCATTGAACCATAATTCTTTTGACCATAGCACCTGAATATAGTAAGGAAATATCAATTGGCAAGACTGTGCTGTCAGGAATTTTAAATGTATATCTACAAATGTCATTAACAGATAGACCAGCCTTAACCAAGATTAAAGCTAAATAATTAGGTAGTGTATACAGTCAGGTGACTCAGTGCAAGATTAAGGAATCAGACTTCAAGGGAAGGTGAGGTCTGGCCAGTGCTTAAGGAAGATGCACATATACGTATGAATGGAGATAGACTTTGCTCAGAGCCGGAAGTTCAGAAAGGAAAGGTCAGAAGCAAGACTCTCCAGAGGTCATTAAAAATTAAACAGATAAATGGTCCATACCTGTCATTTAAACAAAATAATGTGAGAAAACTTGGGTTTAGGTCATATGCTCTTTTCTTTTGAAGGGTTTTCCCAAGGCTCATCTCTCTGATAAAACGGAACTATCATCTTTATCATTTTATTTCTTTTAGGCCCTTGGTCCTGGCTTTCCTCTGGGGAAATATTTTTCCCCTAATGACCTTAAAGAGATGGTCTTTGAGGACACATTTCAGGAACTTTGAGTCTGGGAGGTATTTTGTGCTAAGAAATAAGTTTTATGACACCTCAGTTTACACAATAATGGCTTCCTTAAAGTGGAGGAGAAAGAAAAAAGCTGAAATATATCCTTTACTTAACTATATCCTCCTACTGATGAAGCCTGATATATACAAATTTTTTTTTAGAAATTTTGTTAAATACAAAGAATTAATGCCAAATATCCTTAAAATAGTTAAATCCTCAGGATATGTTCTTTTATATTAAAATATATGACAATTATCACTTTAATTATCTCTTTAATAATAATATAAAATATGAAGGATAAATCCATTAGTATATGTTAAAAATGTAAAAATGCAGCCTTAGCCAGTTTGGCTCAGTGGATAGAGCGTTGGCCTGTGGGGCAGAGTCCCGGGTTCCATTCTGGCAAAGTGCGAATACTTTGGTTGCAGGCTCCTCCCCTGCCTGGGCCCTGGTCAGAGCTCATTGTTGTGTTTCTCTCACATCGAAGTTCTCTCTGTCTTTCCTTCACTCTTCCACTCTCCCTAAAAATCAATTGAAAAAATATCCTTATTTGAGGATTAAGAAACAAACAAAAAAAAAAGTAAAAATCTTGAAAACATAATTTTATAAAACCACAAGTCTACTAAATAGAGAAAAGTGTTAAGGGTGTAATACATCCATGTTTTGCAGAGTCCTGGGTTCCATTCTGGCAAAGTGCACATACTTTGGTTGCAGGCTCCTCCCCTGCCTGGGCCCTGGTCAGAGCTCATTGTTGTGTTTCTCTCACATCGAAGTTCTCTCTGTCTTTCCTTCACTCTTCCACTCTCCCTAAAAATCAATTGAAAAATATCCTCGGTTGAGAATTAAGAAACAAACAAAAAAAAAGTAAAAATCCTGGAAACATAATTTTATACAACCACACATCTACTAATTAGAGAAAAGTGTTAAGGGTGTAATACATCCATGTTTTAGTAGAGCATTTAATTAATTTTATGCATTAATTGTATAATAAATTAATTTTAAATTTTTATTTTTTAGCTCTCAAGTACTCGAAAGCTAAAATAAAACATAAATGCTTACTATCATAAGAGAAAGCATCTGGGTAAAATGCTGCAAAGAGGTAGGGGGATTCTACTTTTGTTAATGCATTGGTTATGTTCTAAAATGAGTAGAAAAAGGTGTAGAAAATTTAGTTTATTGAAAAAGAATTTAACATTTAAACGTTATGCATATCAGTGTCATAGCAGTAAACAAACATTTTAAATTAGATATTCCCCTGAAAATAGCTACAAATTATTAATTGGAATAAGAAGCCAAATATTTTGCTGAAAAAAAAAATAAAGAAACTGTTCAATGTCTTTGTTTGACTGCTGGAAATATTAATATGAAGTTAGAATCATGAATTTTGAAATGAAGGAATAGAATGGCAAACTGTTTTGAAAACAGGTATGGCAATTGCATAATATCACTGAAAAAATGCTTTTTAGATTTCTTTTCTCCCTCCCCAACTAATGCTGTGAATAAATAGGATGTAAAATAATAAGAATCGTGATTGTGGTAAAATGTCAAATTTACATTTTTTAAAAAATAATGTCATTCACAGAAAGATATTGAATTTGAGAGAGGCTTAAGAAACAAATCAGTTTGAAGAATTGGAGAATTGATCTGCTTCAGGATTAAGTGTGCATGTAGAATTTAGGTGAATGTTAAAACAGTGGGCATAGGGAAAATTTGGTAATTCCCTGATAAGGTGAGTCATGGCATTCTAGCAGCAAAGTGCATGGGAAGAAATTAAACATCATATCAAGTTATCATATTCTAATATAATATTTGCATATTACTCTCTCTATTCTGATATATTGGAGTTTGTGAAGAGCAGGGATAATTGTAGTATTTCTAAGAGCACATAATATAGAACACTAGAGGCCCCGTGCACAAATTCGTGCACCAGTAAAATCCCTTGGCCTGGCCTGCTAGATCAGGCCGAAACTGGCTCTCTGACATCCCCCAAGGGGTCCTAGATTGTGAAAGGGCTCAGGCCAGGCCGAGGGACCCCACTGGTGCACAATTGGGGCTGGGGAGAGAGTCAGGGAGGGACTGGACTGCAGGAAGGCTCCAGGGCGTGTCCAGCCCATCTCGCTCAGTCCTGAGATGCAGGAGATTGGCCAGCCAGGGAGGGACCAGACTGCAGGAAGGCTCCAGGGCATGTCCATCCCATCTCACTCAGTCCTCGCTCAGTCCTGAAGGGACGGACCCCAGCAACAAGCTATCTACCGGTCGGAGTGTCTGCCCCTTGGTAGTCAGTGCATGCCATGGCGAGCGGTTGAGCAGTCTTAGCATATCATTAGCATATAAGGATGGACCCCAGCAACAAGCTAATCTACCGGTCGGAGTGTCTGCCCCTTGGTGGTCAGTGCATGCCATGGCGAGCAGTTGAGCAGCCTTAGCATATCATTAGCATATTATGCTTTGATTGGTTGAATGGCCAACCAGTCTACCAGACACTTAGCATATTAGACTTTTATTATATAGGAGGAGGAGAATATCTTTTGATGTTGGTCACCTTTGTTGAGGTTGTTCTGTTGAAGTCGTTAGCACATTAATCATAGTTATTTCAAAATTCCTAGTCTGATAATTGCAAAAGTTCTGCCATATAAATCAGATTTGGGTGTTCTCTCTGTCTCTTCAAACTGTGTTGTTGTTGTTTTTTTCTTTTAACATGCCTGATAATTTAATATTTATAGGCAGACATCATGAGCTGGATAAAAGTAACTGAAATAAATAGGCCTTATTATGATACTTTATTTTTATATGGCTAGGAGTCAGGCCATGTTTACTGCTTTTTCTGGCTATAGGTGTCAGGCTAAAATTCTTCTTATATTCTTATTGTTATCTCCTTTGTAATCAGTGGATTTTATTAGAAACTTCTTAAATAGATCTGAGCTGTGCAGTTCTCTCCGTTGTTATCTTCCCTGTTGTTATTGGTGTGGGTAAGATTGTTCCCATGATGTGGGGAAGATATAGCTTTCAAACGTGCTATGAGTAGGTCTCAGTCCCTCAGTGAGCCCGTTCCTCACCTCTGGGCTGTGACCTTTCCGTGTCTTCTCGGCCTCCTCACCCCTTAGATTCAGCATGGAGGCTTCAAGGGTCTAGAACTGGGTATTTCCTTTCTCCCGGATTAATTGGGCTCCGGTAAAATTATTCCCCTAGAAGTCAGGCCTTTTTAAGAACAGAATGCTCTACAGTATTTCAAATGGCTATTCTCTTCCCTACTGGAAGCACAAAGTCTATTTTTCTCCTATCTGCACTGTGTGAACCTGCTAGGACTCCTGGAGGTGAAACTTATGAGCGTATGGGAAAATCCTCTTAGACTGAATACCAACCGCCTGGAGTTGTTAACGCTCAAGCGTGTCCACACCAGTCCACCAGCATTTTATCAATGAGAGTTCCTTTTCCTACCCTGGTACCGGTTCCAGCAGGGCTTTCTGTTCCTCAGTTTCTGCTCTGGTAATTCTCTGTATCTGCCTGACTCGCTCTCTAATTTGGGGAGGGGGACAATTTGCCCTGTAACCTCAATTCTCTGACAGATAAAAAGAATTCTTTCTTCAGCTTTTTATGTTTTTGAGGGAAGGAGTAGTGACTTCTGAGCTTCTTAAATGCTGGACCAAAACCCAGGTGTCTTGTGTCTTTTAAAAAACTGATTTCCTTATTTTAATTAGGCTCCTCAGGTATCTCACCTGGAATGAATGTTATATTTTTTTAGAGTTGCTAGAGGTCTTCACAGAATTGCTGTAAAAAATGTCAGTTGAGCTGGCAATCAATTCACTAGTGTGCAGAAAATAAAAAATTATATTACCTTGCACACAAAAGTATACCAGATGATACAGTGTCACATATAATCTGTGTTAAAGGACATTAAAATGTATCAAATTATTGGGAATGTGCAGCTGTTGGATTT